TTCGTACGAACCCTTTGTACGAACAAAAGGAAGAGAAATTTAGGAGAAGAATACAAACATGTTCTTGCATGAGGCCCAATGTCTTGTTTTCTCTGGTAGAGCAGCAGATAAACTGTTGAAACACTGGCAGTGTAGCAGAGTGAGGCATGATTAAAATCACCAGATATTGACACAAAGGCATTGGGGCTATAGCGAGATAAACAGAAAGGGTGATTAACTATTTCTGTCCTGAACTACACTTTACCTGTTGGAGCACCAGGTCAGTTATTGACCAACATTTATTCATCTTTTTAATTAGCCTCATATTTAGTGAAGTGAGGTCGGATGATATACAGTGAATTCTTATCTCAGACCAAAATACTCAAAGCTGAGGAACCAGCTTTGTCTTTGATGGTAATTTATTACAAAATATCAAGAATCGATTTCACTGAATCATGACTAAAACAGTAAAACAATGATACCAGGTCTTGTCACTGGAGATACAAAATTTCTTTCTGGGAGAAATATGTTTCCTGGACAGAGTGGTGTGGTGGTCTCAAACACACACAGGTGTTGTTTTCTCCCAGGCTCTGTCTCAATTGATGGGCTGGGTCCTCATGAGTATGTAGCCCAGCAGGACATGTAGGCCACATCCTCTGCTGGCTGTGTAGGCTGCTCAAACTGTAGTGAAATGAGACGGTCTACCCTTCACTTGACGTAAGTTTGTGTGACCACGTGTTACCCTGTTACCATAGGGATCAGTTTTATATCAGACATAAAATGCATCAGGATGTGTATTTACACGTCTTTTAACTGGAAGAATAACTTCACAGTTAAAACTTCACACATAAATAAATAACAAAACTAATAATTCAGGTTTAGCTCCAGTATCAGCACTTTCAGTTACATTTTTTTCATATAACATCTTATTGAAGCATGAATTTCATCAGCTAATTTGCTAAACTTACTTTTAAAAACAAATTCTTCTGTCCGAGGTGAATTTCCAAACTGTGCCGACTCGTTAAAATAATAAAAACTCCACCGTCTCTGTTTATTTTCACACTGAATCCTGGGATATACTTGGCCGTTGAGCGTACTACGACACATCCTCAGATTTACAGAGTTTGTCGGCCGCATGAGGAGGAGCCTATTTTTTTATTTTATTTTTACAATGAATCACAGAACATCCTGATGCATAGGTAGAAAAATCAAAAAGAAAAAATCAGTAGTTCCTCTGGATGGTTCTTCTTTAGTGAAATGTTTCATCTCTCCTCCAAGAGACTTCTTCAGTCTGATGAGTTTCAGGTGCACTCAGCCTTATAAGCTCCGCCTCCACATGGTGGACAAACAGGTTGGTCACATGTAAAAGAGGACCATTGACTAACAACAGGCTTGATTAGCTCTATTGTTCATAGAGGGTCATGTGCTCCATCACCTGACTATCATTGGGCCCTGATTCACACCTTTTGCTCACAGGGGGCGGAGTCATACTTGTAATAACAGCGTTGTAGGAGGAGGACAACTGGACACGAAGGCCTCCACCTCTGTGTAATGGTGGACGGTTTAGGCAGTGCTCCCTCCTAGCTGTGAAGCGTATTGATCTACGTAGCTGTAACTGTGGGGCGGTGCTGTGGAGACTCACCTAGCAGGATCTGCAGTGCGTTGGTGTGGAGGTCCAGAGCTTCAGTCTGCTGCTCCATCACATCCATCTTCTCAGTCTCCTGGTTGTAGTAGCTGTAAACACAGGAGTAGGCCAGCACCTGCAGACAGGACGTGGGGCACAGTTAACTCATAGAGCCCATCCTCAACAGGACCCCTGAAACAGAAACACTGGGAAGATCACTGATCACAGCTGATGATAGTTTTGTAGTCATCTTGTTGACAGTGTGAATCTCTCTCACTACTGATGACCCACTGAAGCTGCACCATGTTCAAACAGGCTCACCAAAACCTCACAGACAGGGTTTGGTGGATACCTTTCTGTTGCTCTGACAGCTGGGTGATTTCTCTCCGTGCTGCCTTGATCTTAGCTTTCAGCCTCCTCCTCCACGGAGGAACGTTCCTCACCACCAGCAGCTGTAGGTTTCATCTTATAGGATCTGAAGGATCAGTGTTTCTGGGTGTATACCACCTAATTATTCTGTGACGGTATCATTTCAAACTACTTAGCAATGCTGAAGCTTCTAGCTGCCTTTCAGAGGGTCATTTGACAGTTTGACCAGCATCCCCAGGTCTTCAGGTTCAGGTGCACTGAACCTTGTATCAGGTTCCTTAGGGCTATTCAATGGAGCATGTTTATCATATGGTGGGAATGATGGTTTATCTTCCCTGACCTGTCCTCTTGGCTCCTCACTAGAGCATCTTTGATGAACCTCATCAATCTCTAAGTGTGAGAGCAGCTTTTTATCAAGAATGTTGAAACATGCCTGAAGTTTCTTCTGAGTTGATCTGGACATTAGGTAGCGTTGGTCAATATTGGCACAAACTGTGGTATTTTGCCAGTAATGGTTAATGTGATTTATTGCCGTACCACCCTGAACACTCCCTCTGATCTGGGAAGCTAAGCAGGGTCGGGTCTGGTTGGAACGTGGATGGGGACTACCTGGAAATGCCAGGTGCTGTAAAACCCATGGAAGAGTTGTGCCCACATTGGAAAAACTAGCAAGAGAAAAGCGTTGACAGTACTAGGTCATAGGTAGCCTTCTAAAAAAGGATAATAAAGTAAAGAAAGAATTAATTTGATGATTAATCCCCTGCAGTCCATGGACACAGGCATGTCCTCGTCACATGAAAGATTTGCTCTCTGAGAGTCTGTTCCATTTGTGTCCAAAGTAAAGATTTTAAGTTGTACAGCAGTTTTTAAATTGTGTTTGTAAGAAATGTAAAAGCAGTGGTATGATAAATGATTTATGGCACTTTATTAAGAAATGTTCATCATGTTGGAAGTATGCTGCAGCTCGCTGAACTCAGCGTTGACTTCTAAAGACAGTGATGTTGCCAAACTTCATAAGATGACACAAACTTGTCATGTGGTCAGTATAGAGTACACAATGAGGAGGACCACTGAGGGAAAGGACGGTACCTTTCGAGCCTGGGCGAGGACTTTACAGGCGTCGATGACAAAGGTGAGAGACTTCATCTGCAGAGCTTCATTAATGGATGAAACTTTGTTCTCCAGGTTGGCAGCAAAATCCTGCAACACAAGGATATAAACAAGAAGTGGTTGTTCCTCTGGTGATCTGAGGACACGACAACATCTAAATGTTCTGATCCCTGCAGGAAACAGATGACAACACTGGAGTTATAAATGATAATCGTAGATCACAGATAGGCCAAACAACTGAACAAAACACCAAAAACACATTTCCTCAAAGCCAGTTTGAATCTGAAAAGGGCAGCACTGAGAAGTAGTGTTAGAAGCTCTGCAATGGGCTGCCATCTGACATCCAGGGAGCAACTGGAAAGGGCCTTGCTCAAGGGCCTACAGTGGAGCTCATATTACATGTGCCAGTCAGGGGATTCTAACTTGTGACCTCCTGATTATTCTATGACCTCTGCTCCACTGCTCCCTAAAACCTGACCAGGTTAGATGGTTTTCTGACCACCTGATGTCAAGGAGCGTGTGGAGGACACAACTCTGGGGTTCTGCTACCTTGGCTTGATGGTGGAAGGTGCATCTCTCGTTGTAATCCTGGAACTTCTTCTCCTGTCGAGCAGCTTTACTCACCTGCAGAATAAAACACACACACACAGCTCAGGTACAGTACATGTTCAGCCTTTTAACCAGTTTTACTGTTTCTGAGAAGACCAACAGAAAAGCTATCTAAACGTCAGCAGGTTGTCTGCTCGGCTCTGATTGGATGGAGTGGTCATGTGACAGTGCAGGCACCAACCATGGCAGAGCAGTTGTAGTAATCTTTGTGAGTTGGTTTCCAGGGTTTGAGGCAGCGCCAGCAGAATCCATGGTTACATTTGGCACAGGTCATGCTGAAAGCAGAGCAGAGACATTACTCCTCCTCCTCCTCTAACCCTCAGCCCTGCTCAGGGAGACGTACTGCAAGCAGCCCTCGTTCTTCTCGATCTGAGCCTGGCAGCTGGGGCAGCGTTTGGAGATCAGCTTGGCCAGGTGTTTGCTCTGAGCCTCCATGTTCATCCCTTCATAAAACCCTCCATCATCCATCCACTGAGACATGTGGCTGCAGCTGGCTGGGTAATGAGCCTGACGAGGAAAAACAAGGACCAGAAGCATTAAACCCAAATTACCCCACAAAACACAAGGTGCTGCAGGTATCACCTGAACAGGTATCATCTGTACCTTATGTCAGAGATTCTTAACCTATGAGCTGTGAGCGCCACCTCAAGGGCCTCAYAAGAACAACAGTTTTTAACTTTGGGCCACAGAGGGCCGTGGGACCACATTGATTTTGAATAAGGTGCAATACACTTTCTCACCACTAGTAGCAGTAGTGCACCACTCAGATGTTTAACAACTTTTTAATATGTAGAAGAAGAACCTTAGAAACCTGCTGAGAATGGAAACTTATTTTAAATGAAAAGTAGAAGAAAAATGAAAGTAACTCATCAAAAACACCAAAGTTTGTCACTAATATGAAGAGCAGCTTCTGGTTGTAAAAGTTTAAAAAGGCTTTATTTTCATTTACACTTTATCAAATTTATTTTTACATATTTTTTGAAACATTTACATTAAACAGTTTAAATGTATTTATTTTATGCCCACAATTTTATTTATTGAATCATCTATTTTTGTTGTTTATGTTAAAAATGTTATTTTTGTGTTGATAAGCCTGAGTGGTCTGTTGACTGATCTTTGTATTTGTTCTAATAATTGTTATGGGCAGGTTACAATATAAAAATGTTTGTTATAATCATGTCTTGTGATTATTTAACAGGAGTTTTACTTTTAAACTGTAAGTGTATTTAATTTAGTTATGTTAGTTATGATAGTTTAGTTATGATGTAAATACAATAAAAATTAAACCAAGATTTATAATAATTATCATTTTGATCCATATGTTAATGTCTGACTGGACCTCGTGTCACTTTATGTTCAATAAACTGGACCCTGAGGTCAAAAAGGTTTAGACCCCCTGGTTTATCTTATGTTAAGGTCCAGAACCGTTTCATTCAACCATTCAACCATTCAATTCAGTGATGTGAGATGATGATGTGAGGAACTAAAACATTTTATACACAATCCCTTCATTTCAGAGGCTCATATGTTATTGGTGAAATAAATGTAAATAAAATGTTCATTTCTATAACTTTCTTAAAAACCCTTTGTTGTTAATGACTGCTGAAGTCTTGATTTCATGGATGTCAGCAGACTCTGTTTGCTTCTTAATGCTGTGCCAGGCCTTCACTGCAGTGTGTGTGAGCTCTACACAAGTCTGACTGTAACCACTCACCTGAACTAAACACCTCTAATGTCTATGGAGACACTGTTTTCAGTGAGTTTAATCTTTGTTCTTTAACGTTCAGGTGTGTGTGTGTGTGTGTGATCTCTGACCTCAGGGAAGTTGCAGCTGAAGCAGGAGGACCAGCAGCACTTGGAGCAGGTGCCCATGCTGCCTGTGTTCTCCTTGCAGAGGATGCGGTCACAGCCCAGTGGGTTGGTGCACCAGGTCAGGTTGGAGCAGCACTCCACATATCCTCGCAGCAGGGCGTTGTCATACTGACAGGTAGGAGCAGGGCATCACACACCTGTACAGCTTACACTCAGGGACTTGTTTCTCTGACACCGTTACCTTGGCTATGGTGTCCCGGTCCGTCAGGATGCTGAGGAAGAACTGGGTCGTGGGCTGAGCCTGACAGTCTGTGATTGGACAGTCACAGTTCATCACCAGGTTCTGTTCGATCCGGGCCGTCAGGTACTCCTGCCAGCACGACTGTAAACACAGCAGAACCAGTCACATCAGAAACAAGATGTTTCTGACCTGGTGGCACCAAACAGACACGACAAACCATCCAAAACAACAACAACAACAACAACAACAACAACAACAACAACAACAACAACACACACCAGAGCAACATACGTACAAAAAACTTAAATCTATTAGACGTTGTTACACAAACACCTTACATGTGGTTGGTGGTATCAGTTTTTTCACTCTACCTTCCTGCTGAAGGCAGTCTCATGTAATTCAATGAGGAGTTGGACCAGTCATCACTTGTGTCTGACCAGTATACAGAGAACTGTAGGGGTGTAAGAAAATATCGATACACTGAAATATCGCGATATTTCATTTCCCGATACTGTATCAATATTCTAAAGCCCTGTATCGATTTTTAATTAAGGTTTAAAATGTCAACTTTCTTGCCAGCCGTTCATTTTTATGTTGTAGTTCAGCCTCTGACCACTAGTTGGCAGCAGTGAGCCAGACATTTGGCTCCTCTACCTCTTGAGCGCCAGAGAGTAAGGGTAGCATTAGCATGGTGAGTAAACATTAGCTTTTCTTTTTTTTTCAGTAAGAGCTTTTTATTTAATAGAATTTTTGGACAAAAAAAATCACAATACATCGCCTTGCTTACAGTATCACAATATATCAGGATATATCGTATCGTGACCCCTCTGTTATGATACGTAACGTATCACCAAATTCTTGCGAATACACAGGCCTAGAGAACTGGGGAGTCAGATTTCAGTGTTTGATGGTTGAAGCAAAGTGTAGCCTCAGAGTGCTTTTAGCACAAACAAGCAGCTGCTAACTTCTGACCAATCACACAATAAGGTTTTATGTGGAGACTTGTGACAGGAAGGGTGAAAGACTTGAAGCTGTGAACTGAATGATGTCATTTTAGTCATGAAACTACAACAAGAGGCCGTTCAGATGGAGCATGTGAAGGTTTGTAGTCTCTGCAGCAGGTCGTGGGGCTGCCCCGAGGTCTCCTTAAAGCTGCTGTATGTCGTTTCTTGTGTAGGGGTAACCCTGGTGAAATAAACATTTCTATTTTTTGTCTTTGATTTTGCTTTTACACTTATAAGAAGAAAGTCATTTTAAAGTTTGTTTCTATTTTCTTTAAGTGAATAGGACAATATGTTCTATATTTTTTCTTCATTTAATCTTCCATTAGAGGTTATAATCAATATATCATTACTCAAAGTTTTATTGAATTAATCTTTGCATCTTTCTCTTTATTCCAGAGTTTAACACTGTGAAGAAAAGAGTTGAAATGTGTTTTACTGTTTTTTCTTAGTACTGGTTTATTAATCATGTTTTTATCAGTTTTCTTAATTGGTTTAATGATTAATGATTGTGTACTATTAATTTTACTATTAATCCCTTTGTGCAAAGTGGTGGATGTGATGTATAACCTCAGTGAAGTGATTTTTAAGTACGACAGTTTAGTCTGTCTATTCAGACTTCCAAGGTCTTTTGCTGATAACACCAGCTGGTCGCAAGTGTGGGAAAAACAGATAGTTTTTCGTCTCGCTCTTTTTTTTCTCTCAAAGAACTAACTTTTCTGTTCACACCGTTGACACTCATTCTTGTTTTGTTCGTTTGAGTAAGGATGGTTCTGACTGGGTCTCTCTGAGGAGTGCGTGTCCATCTGGACACCTGTCTGGACAGAGTCTGAATGTTACTAACCTAATTTTACTGCCGAGAAGCGACTGAGACCAGCCGGGAGCCACTGAGGCTCGTTAGGGGTGAGACAAGGGTCTTCTCAACCCCCTGCTGTCATGACGGACATTATCCATCCTGGCGGACTTCGTGATACTGACACTCTCAAACCTTTCTACCTGCCTGCCTGTTCGGCTCTGTCTGAAGACATCTAAAGGTAGAACAAATG